ACATTGATTTACATGCTTGGGGACCGATTGAAGTAGTTCTTGGCGATCAACATGGTTGTGACGACAGCCAGTTGGTGATTTGGTTGTTCATGATGAGGTTCTTTCATCCCAACACCCTTTACCTGAAGCAGCTTTTGCTGAAAACAATTAGGTTCATCCCTCTGAACAACAGCCAAGATTGGCCTTTGGACGCTTGTTGACAAGTTGTTGTTTTGTTGATTGAAGTAGTTCTTGGTCTCGTGAGTCTTGTGAGGCCGACGGACCAGTTCTTATTGCGATCGTTTTCTTCATTTCATGTTCTTTGTAGTGCTGTGTCTTCAGAGTGCCGGTATGTGTGTCGAACAAAAAACGTGTCGAACGACATGTTGGAACAGCAGTGTTTGTGTTGGAACAGCTCGGAATCGATCATGTCAGATGGATTCGTGTTGGTTTGGTGCTCTCCTTCATCCAGGCTGATGTCAGGTCCTAGTACGAAGCTGTTGAAGACCCCTGAACCCGGAAAGTCCAGTTGTGTGTAAAATACTTCTCAGTTCCACGTGCAAACATACGCAACTATGAAGCGTGGGCGTTTCTGGACCTTCAGAGTCATGTTATGTTTCTTTCTGCGCAAGGTGTGTTATCTGTGCACCAAGGCCTTCAGACAGCTGTACATCTTGGATGGTGAAGAACTCTCCATGCCAGAGGTGAGTGCACTCGGTGTCAAAGATTTTCACGCAGCGTCGGCTTCTTTTTTTCACCACTCGTCACTTGTTCTCAGATGTTTGCTCAAAACGGGTGAGTTTACTCGTTTTTCATGTTTATTGTTTTTCTGTTTGTTCACGCATATGGTTTCTTTGGTCGGTGAGTATGCAAGTTCCATAGTTCTTGATCTGAAGCGCGGCCAAACCACACTCCCCACGATGCACAGAAGACCCAAACCTGGTCACGAGTCACAACTCCGCTCGCCGCCCTAGCTCCGCGTCCGCGTCCGGTTCCCCCACGGCAGGAGTCGGAAGTGGCGCGGAACCTGCAACTGCTGGGGGCGGCCAGGTCGGTAGAGCTTCGAGAGGCCGAACGCCGCGCTGGACGCGACGATTCGGAACTGCGGGCGGCGACTCGAAAAAACACGAGGATGGGCAGGTTTGGAGCATGGCTATGGATGGTGGGGTGACGCTTGGGATTGGAACAGCATGTGTGTGTGTGCTTATACCTAGATGTTCTAAAAGACTGTAATTGTTGCCTTTTCTTGGAAATCGGGCTTTTTACGAAAAAGGCAGAAAAAACGCCCTCGGGCGGATCTTCCAAATCAGGTGGTTTCAACGAGGAGCCGTAATTTGCAAACTGCAAAGCTCAAACAGGTAGACGGTCTACATGTAAAACAATAGAGAATTTCTGGGGTTTCAAAAAGGCAAAACTTCCCGGCATTCGGGCGGAACTTCCCGGCATTCGGGCGGGTTTACCCGAACACCCTGTTTTGTAATATGTTGTAATCATGATTCATTACTTTTTTTGGCACTGATGTTGCGTTTTACAAATTCTGAATTTCTGCAACTCCCTTCGGGCAGAAATTTATGCCTCAGGCGGAAACCTGAGATTTGGTCAGAAAAAGCAGCCTGAAACCATTCGGGCAGAAATAAACGACTTCGGAACATCTAGGTATGTCTTTGCTTATTATGCGTTGTTTGTTCGTTTGTTTGGTTGGTTGTTTGTTTTGTTGGGTGGGGTGGGGTGGGGTGGGGTGTAGGAAAGGAATTCAGTACAACGCCAGTGCGTTTCGACTTCTCCGTAATGTTTCTTCATGGTTCGCCGACCATTGATTGAGTCTAAGACTGTCCATGATACTATGATACTGGAAATATGTTATTGGAACTGGAAGGTCAAAACAAATCCAAAACACATTTCATATTATTTCATCGATACAGCGTATCCAAGCTATTGCATTAAGTATGAACGCCAAAGCAAATCCAGCATCAAAACAATTCAAAAACAGAACAGCACAATTCGCCGACCTGTCGAAATACTTGTCGCCGACCTGAAGAAACAAATCCACAATATGACAACAAGTCAACTGTCCACTGATAATCCCAGCACCGGGGTCACCAGGTCAATCTTCAGCAAGTTTCATGGCTAAACCTTAAACCTATTCAGAGGGATTTGTATCCTACTATAATGCCTAAATCTGGTTTGGGGGAAGACTGAAAAAGGATTCAACATGTCCTGAATCAACGGCCTTAGTGACTGGTGCGGGTGCGACCTTCGCCAGGCTCTGCCGTTGCTGGCGAAGCTCCAGGGCTCCCCGAAGACCGCGGCCGCCGCCGCGCTGGAGGAAGCCCAGCGGCTGCTGCACCTCAGGCGGAGGGGCGGGGTCGGATTGCGCCCGAGGCTCCAGCGATGTGGGGCAAGGGCAAGGGCTGGAGTGGAGAATATATGTTGTTGCTCAGCTCCAGGAATTTGGAGAGATGAGCAGCGCCGTAAACCTCCTTTACATACGACCTTTCAATCTATCAAGGTTTCCAGCACAGGTCAGATGTTGTTGCGCTTGCTCTTTTGGTCGCGAATCAAGTTGAGAGTGCTCCACTGTGAGTGTTCCATGGCGCTGCCGTGTGCATAGGGTTGGTGGAATCCGGACATGGTTTTGGAACGTCTATACCGGTATACCAGAGTGGACCCATACCCAGCAGAAGCTTGATACTGAGTTTTAACCCGACCACCTGGCCTAGCAGTCAAACGGGTAGGATGATGAAAAGAGACGGTTGCTGGTGAGAAGTAGATGCAGAATATCGATGACAAGGTTACACTCTGACTCACTAAGATGGAAGAGCTTTTGTTGCACGCGAGCATAACAGGGGGTCTTCCCATCAACTTCCATGGAACGTAAGTCGGAGAGCAGACCTTTACATCCACGAACTGTATGTACGTTCCGGAACCGTTGAGAAGTATCTGCAGTTCCGGTCTGGTTCAGAGATCTTCGGAGCAAGCTGTCTCTGTTGTGCATCGAAAACACCGAACACTTGACGGACCCAACGACCCTCTTCTCGTCACCTGTTCTAAGCACCAAAAACGTCGCAAACCTCGGGAGTTAGAGTTAGCAAGCAACTGGTGTTCTGGTTGGCTTGTCGCAAATTGGTCAAGTAAGTAGACTGTTTCCGGGTAGTGTTCATGCCAGTAGACTAGATCACAACGCGATACTGTTGGTGATCAATCCGTGTCAAAGCTAACTATTCATGTAGATCAGAGATCTTATGAAATTGGGTCTATGCCTATGCTTTTGCATAATTGAAATAACATATATATATATATATTTAAATTCCTTGTATTTCCTGGAGTGAAGGGGCTTGCACTGGACATGTTTGAAGGTTTTTGGGAACCAGTGGCAAAGCAACTCAGACTCAAGGAAGGCAGGGATTTTATTCTATGACATTCTATGACTAATTGAAATGAGGTGAGTATGAAACTTCTGTTTCTCACCAACCCCGTGCTTTGCCCATCCTTCCAGAAGCCTCATCCACGTCCTTTTCTGCAACCCAGGCAGACGCTCTGGGCCGTGAAAGCTCGGGTCCGTTGTTTGAATAGCATGCTGGCCTGAACGAGCTGGATCCAGGAACCTATGCCGCCCTTGGCCCTCGCTGGGAAACGAGCAAACTAAGTTCATAGCGCACCACCCAAAGCATGGCTACCCCTTTTGTTTTTGATCTCTACTACCCAAGAAGCCTCCAACCTCAGTGGTGCTATTGGCTGTTCTTCACTTTGGACCCGTAACGAACAGCAGAGATCTTCGGCGATTGGACGTGAGACAAATCGGCAGAGGTTGCAAGCTCTGACGTCCACAAAAAGGATCGAGAGTGTTAGCGATATATCTGCAGACTCGATCAAGAATTCGATGGAAGTCGATGTTTCTAAGCCTGCATTCATGTGCCCTTCCAGGAGCAATGAATTCTTGGATGCCCCGAGCCAGCATGGTAGGATTCTCTTAAGTGACGATGTGTTGCGAGAAAAGGGAGGCGCAAGCAGGGCGCCGCCAATTGCATGAAGTTCTTTGTCGCCTAACAAGTTTTGATTAAGCTTTTGCTTCTTTGTAGGAGACCAATCCCAATTGCAATGTGTGAACTTGCTTTGGTGACCTCGTCATGTGTTTTTACATGTGATGTTACCTTTTTTACAGTTGGTCTAGGAACGATGCGATTTCTTGGTTTTAGCAGGTCCTCAAATACGTCATCTTCAGCAACTACCCACTTGGCACGTAGGTGGAGGTGCAACCGCTTCAAGAGCCTTCGTGGGAATATGCTCAGCCACTCGGCTGGTCTCGGCTCGGCTTCCGCCGGTTCCACCGACCTGCTGGTGTGGACTCCTTCGCATCCAATCCGACACAGCAAGACGGCGTCAAGGTAGAACCACGTGCTCACCAGCTACAGACGTCCAGCCTAGCCTTGATGTGCTACACGGCAAACTTGTCTCACAGCTATTTGGGCTATAGAAGCTTAAAACGATGTGGCAAAGATGAGAACTTGTTTGAAACAGTTTCAGGCCGATTTGATGTCTAAGTTACACCTTCAGGTTCCAGGACTCTCTCCAGAAGGTGAGGCCATAATGCCTACTACACAAGATATGACATATGGGTTGGAACGTCTTGTTTTGCACAGTTGAAGACATTTGTTGGCTTCAACATGTTTCAGTTTCAACCTTTGCGAGCCTGCTAAACCTTTATGAGTGGATTGGCTTGCCTAACAAGTTCTCATTCACAGGTGGATCTGTCAAAGGAATAGGTGGATTTAGCATTTTGCCAGAAAAGCGGACAAAGAGGTGGATTTGTTTAAACGGAAAGGCTTGGCCCCTTCTCCACGGCCCGGATTGCGCCAAGACTTGGCGAATAGGCCCAGAGGAACGCTTGGCCAACTACGCTGCTCGAAGGGAGGCGAGCTGGGCGAGCAAGGGCGAGCAAGACTAGACGAGTCCATTCGAACGACCGAAGACCGAATGGAAGAAGAACTCCAAAGGCACAGACCTCCACGTACGGCACAGCAAGAGATCCTCAAACACGGCACTTTGAGAAGATACACCTTTGTGCTGGCATCTCATTGGATGATATTCTTGAGCATGAAGAGGGTTTGATGCCCTTTTTGATGCTTCATGCGGGGTCTACCTCCAGGACCCTGCTCGAGATGAAGAGTGGCAACATTTGTTTGGACCTCCTCGTCCGGGTGCCCAGAGAAGGGGAAGTTGTATTCAGAGTCTCTGCGAATGATTCTCCCCAGAGTGAACATGTTGCTGTTATGCAGTCATATCAAATGAGGAGGCCTTGGTCTGAATCTATTTCGGAGTCGTCGGAGTTCTCAATTTGAAGCCTTTCCAAGTAAGTACATTCTCAAGATATTGGCGTCTCCCCTCTCCATCGGGGTTTAAACACCATGTGCCGGGTCCCGCATGTTCACCATCCCAGGGGCCTTTCTCGGGTCATAGCATCGGTCGGACCACCGTTCGCGGTTCATTTCCAGTCAGACCCGGTGACGGCACCCTTCGCCGAAGGTGACCGGCGTGTTTGTGGCTTCACTCGCTACTTCGTAGTAGGTAGGCTTAAAGCCTGATGGCTTCAGGGTGGACACGTGCAGCCTGTTTGTGGCTCTATGGCTCAATGCTCAGATTGCTTTGTACACGTATTGGAGCCAAGCCAATGCTCAGATTGTTAAGTTCTTGTTTCGCTTGCCGCTTGAAACATATCTTTGAAGACCGGATGCCGACACATTCGCCCGGCTTGAACCCGGTTCCAGAAGCGTGGAAGGGTGGGATCCAAACGATCCGGCAAGGCTGCAAACATGGCAGCTTCATTTCCATTCATTTCGTTTGAGTTTGCAAGGTTTTTGGCCTTCAGTTGAAGAACTATGGCAAACATGGCAGCTTGCCTTCTTGCTTTTGATCTTCACTTGCAGGAGTCCATTCACGTCAATTCTATAAAAACTCTTAGGAAACGGACACCAAAAACGAACATAAAAATACTGTAATGTATGTATATACATAACATAAACCAATCAATAAACTGCTCGACACCTCCGTTCTGGCGCCATGAAGCGCGATGCCCAAGCACCTTTGGTGCCCAGCTGCGAACTGTATCCGCAGGTGGGGCTGGGCGCATGCAGCGTGCCATACTACCATCAGCTACCCAGCCCTGGAACCCATCCTGCAGAGTGAGAACATGCGGATCATGGCCTCTGGTCTTACGAGTGCAGATTCCAAGGCAACGGTTTCTCGGTTCGGAACCACCGGTCGACCTAAGAAAGGCCACGTGCATCAACGCACAGCCATAGCTCCAAATAGGACTGCCTGAAACAACATGCAATCACATGGTCAATCGTTCTAGCATTGTAACAATTGTAGCAAAACCTTCCCCACCAAGAGATGTCCAGCTTGATTGGGAACCTCTAAGCCCTAGCATAGATTATAGATGCCTAGAGCTATATAATAGAAAAGTCACAAAGTCACACCAAAATGGACCCGTTCAACCTGTCACTCGTTGCATTCCCACTTCTGGCCGGCCCACTTCACATCACAGGAGTTTGCCAAACGCTGCCGCATCAAAGACGACGAGTCCCTCGGGCTGTTTGAAGGAGTGATGGGTTCGATGCATTTGGGATCTCATAGGTGACGTTTGGCTTCGACCTTGCAACGCGCCATGATAGTAAAGAAACAGGCATTTAGGATCTCATTCGAAAGAAAGCCAGCACTACTCCGATGCACCCTCCGAGAGAACAACTAAACCACCGCACTCCTTCGGTCCAGAGGATCAAAGCCTGGTCGGTGCTCGGTCAAAGACTTCCTCAGAGCGCTCAGAGTGTTTTTAGTTGTTGCATATCTCCCGACGTAAGTGGGCATGGGTGAATACCTGGAGCCCGACCAGTCCACCATGTAGTGAAAGACCAAAGACCTTCCAGGTAGGTCAACCAATGAGGTGCCTCTAATTCAGAATTTGGTGATGTCTCTTGACAATAGATGTTGTGTTGCTTGCCGCTATTTACCAGACATCCCACGTACCCAGACATCCGCTTTTTGGACGTTCTTCGGGACGTGCGCAACGACGTACCCGTGGCTCAAGTCCCGTCGGTCGGTCCGGTCCGGTCGGTGCCATGACCCGTCCAAAAAGGAATGCGAATGGACCAGAAACCCGATGCTTGCAAGTTGCACCACCACACCTCCAAACTCACCATAGAAACCAGACAAAACACATCAATTTCTCAGTTCCGGTTGTCGATTCTCAGAGTGACCGAACTCCGGTGTGTTGCTCGACCCTAAGGCCCGATGCCTCCGACCTCTTGAAAGCGCTCCTTGGAGCGATCAGAGAAGGTCGAGAGGGCCACGTGGCCACACCAGGTGATATAGCAGTGATAGATCCTGGAACCCCAATCCTGGGTTTGACATTCCGAACGAGATTTGATCCGCAGTCAACCAGGGTTACGGTCCAAGGACCTCGTTTGACTGGATTTGGTGATGCAAGCACTCAATGAGATCAAGGATGAAAACGGTCTAGCGCATTCTTTGCGTGAACATGGACAAATGATATGCGGACCGATATATCTCTTGGTGTTGCCCGACTGAGGTCGCTCATGCGTTATGCGTCTTGCCTGTAAATATCAAGCACTGTGATGCAGACAATTACATCGTGCAATACATGCATCATAGGCATTTCATCAGGTCCAATAGTTTTCTTGCAACAATGCAATTCCTAATGTGATTACATCGGAAAACACATATAGTATTATATAACTATTTGCGAGGTGCTTGTGAATTTATGGTTGAATAGAATCTCCGTCTGATCGGTATTTTGGAGGCTTGCTGTTCTGATATTGGCGACTGAACAATGCAAGCCAAATCGATCTGGGGACTTGTAACACCTACCCCTGAATGAGGATTTGAAGCAAAAGATTGGGCCCCAAGAGAGGGTTCTTCCACCAGTCATCATGTTTGTGTCAGAAAGGGTGTATCGAGCGGGGAGGCTGCACACCAATCGGTGAACATGTGACTATCTAAATTGCTGGTGATGATGCAGTCTGGGTGGAGGTTTCAGAGTTTTTTATGTTTAACCTTCACTTGGGATGATTGAGCCCACTGACACATATTCTTCAAGTGAATTGATACCACCAACCAGTAGTAGTAGTAGTAGTAGTAGTAGTAGTAGTAGTAGTAGTAGTAGTAG